CTATGACCGTTGGTTCGAATGATTACGGTTCTAGATTTGCGGAACCCGTGTTTGACCAGGGTCACCTTGACTTGACTTCAGGATTTCCTCCGACATGAGTGAGTGAGTTTAGTTTTACTCAGCAATATTCCAGCTATATGGCGGCGGTCTGTAAATAATTGAGTCTGTACCAGACACTCCAGTGATCAAACGTATGAGCATAGATCTATGCAATTGACATACCATCACATGTGTCAACCAAGTCAGCGAGTCTGCCCACCCGATCCTGTTAGTCGCCTCTTTCGACAAGCAGGGGTTGCTGGAGATCAATTCTAACCCGGATCTTCACAGGTGTCCTCCGACATGAAGATGATACAACGTGATATAACTGAAATAATGATCAAAGTGGATTTAAACCTCATTCACTCACTCACTGATCTCCTCACTCATTCACCCACTCATCAAACCACTCACTCACTCACTCACCAACCCACCCACCCTCTCACTCACTCATCCACCCACCCATCAAAACACCCATTCACTCACTCACTCACCACCCACCCACCCACCCACTCTCTCACTCACTCTCACCCACCCAACCATTCACTCCTCATCAACCATCCATCCAAACACTTCACTCACTCACTCAATCACTCATCCATCACCACCAACCACCCACCCACTCACTCACTCATCCATCACTCACCCACACACACTCACTCACCCACCCACCATCACACTCACTCACTCACCCATCCACCAAACCAACCAACCACCCACCCACCCACTCACTCACTCACTCAAATATTTCTCAATACTTTATTACACAACAAACATCATACTATTCCCCAACCCATAAATGAGACACTGGACATATGCCACCAGGTGACGAGGTACAGAAGGTGCACCAAGGCTTGTATATCGACGCACGGCTTGCGATTCCTTATATAGAAACATCCTGAAATATTAATGGATTCCCTTCTTATCTCAGCAGATAGTTATCGCTCATGACATTCAATTCTCCTTGACATCCACGATTGTTTCCGCTATCGATCGCCATAATCTGTCGTCTTGTTGCCAAGTATTTCAGTATTGATAAGGGAATACTTTGCAATAAATGAGAACTATAACAGCTGACTCGGGAACATTAATGTTGAGTTTCAGGCGTCAGGTTGTCACGTCGGTTTCTTCTTGAGATGAGATGAGGTGAAATGAGGTTTAACGTTGTGTTAAGGATTACCTCGCCAACGACGTGCATGACGGTGCTGATGTCGCTGCTGATACCTGCCTTGACTTGGGCCGGTTTTGTAGAGTGAACAGAACATTTGGCTTTTCTTATCAAATAATATTTATCTCACTTCGTGACTTGATGGGATTTTCTCATGCTGTTTGATAAGATTGCCCAACTTATCTTTCTGCAGTTTTTGTTGAAGAATATGACCCTTGGAAATGCGTTCGAGTATTTTTAACAAAGAAGCAAAAGTTAAAACGAAAAGTACTTTTGCTTAAAAATATGTACCCGATAACTATGTTTAATTAAATTATAAACGACAAATATGTTACTTTTGAAATCAATGTACACCTATGCTTAATAACTCAAAATAAGACAACAATACTTCTCATAAATTATACATCACAAAAAGAAATGCATAAGCATTTTTAAATCTATTAATTAACTATTGTGTTCAAACAATCGTCAAAATATGTAACAAAAGTGTTGATAACATGATTTTACACAATTGTACAAGTAAAAAATCGACTTGAGCTGAAAATGTTGATTTTAAAGAAATTTCTTACAAGGATTAAAAAGGCATCGCTACAACTAACGCAACAGCAATCACCTTCCACTTGAAATTTTGTGCAGCAAAGAGCATGCACTGTCTGGCTATAAAAATCCAGATTACGTTCGGAAATCGGCATTCGTTTTGAAGGCGTTTCAAGGTCAAATTACTACGCCACGTCTTGACGCTGCTACACGGAACATCGCCATTGAAAGAATGCACGCTGTATATTATCAATTTTCTGTTGCCCGGCGTCTGAATGTTACTCTGAGCACGATATCACGGCTTGCAGCTCGTTACAACCAAACGGGCATAACAAATGACCCTCCCCGTACGTACAGGCAGACCTCGTGTCATCGTGCAGCCCAAGATCGGTACATCCGGGTACTACATTTGCGTGATCGTACTGCCACGGGTGAGAGCACAGTAGCCAGGGTGCCTGGACTTCGGAGGATATCCGGTCAAACGGTAAGGAACAGATTGAGAAAGATTGGACTGAGAGCCAAGAGACCCGACGTTGGAACCGCGCTTCGTCGTCGCCATCGCGCTCAACGTCTCCGTTAACTTAACTTGTCCACTTGGTTGTATAGACATTTTCTCCTTCTAAACTGATGTGAAAAATTCATGTACTAAACTCTATTTGTTTGAAAATGCAACACTTTCGCAACAGATTTCTGGGTTATGCGTTTCTTTTTTTGAATAGTATAGTTGTACATCTACGTTTAAATAAAACATAAAGACAAAATATATGAAATTTACGTTCACCTATGTTGAATCAAATTATAAATGACAAAATATGTTGGCTGGGTTTTTTAAAATAAAACCAACAATATGTTCATTATGTTGAGTTTAATTTTAAAGGACAAAATATGACTCTTGCAATACCTGTTCACCTATATTGAATTAATTTTGACGACAATACATACTTCTCTTAGAATAGACATGTATGTAAGATGGTATGAAATTAGATTATAAAGGAACAAATATAGCATACGTTATACTTGGGATTACATTTTTTTCAGTAAAATTCAGATTCTAGTACTTTGGGGTTTAGTTGCAAATTATGTAGTTTACTGAGAAAGTGTAAGCATGCAATGCATGTTACATTTGATCACTTTCTTAGAGGCATTGTGTACAGAATATTACTCTTGAAATATACGTGGACCTTTGATTAATGAATTAGATAACTATAACATTAAACTTTGCACACGAACTGTACACAAATGGTGGACTGACAATGAGCCCCAATGTTCACTCTTTCTTGCTATATCTTCAATCTCAACCCGTGAAGATCCGGGTTAGAATGAATCTTCAGTAACCCATGCTTGTTGTAAGAGGCGACTAACGGGATCGGGTGGTCAGGCTCGCTGACTTGGTTGACACATGTCATCGGTTCCCAATTGTGCAGATCGATGCTCCTGCTGATGATCACTGGATTGTCTGGTCCAGACTTGATTATTTACAGACCGCCGCCATATAGCTGGAATATTGCTGAGTGCGGTGTAAAACTAAACTCACTCACTCTTCAATCTCAAGTGATAATACCAAACACCGATGGACAGAAGTTTCTCGCTCTCGTGTTTAGATTCCACGAATCGTCTCCCTTTCACCACTCAACTCCCATTCTCTTCCCACAGAGGTTACTCCTGTCATATCTTCCTACGTAACCTCTGTTCTAATACGGCCATATTTCCCGGTTCTCGTAAAATCCCCTAGCGGCAAAAGATCGCAACACGAATTATCTCCCTTCTTTCTATCCAATCAGAACACGTGTTACATCGACTTAGATTCAACTTGACTAACACAAGCAAATGTGAGGCCACAAATATCCCCCATCTGCCGGGGACTTGTGTTGATGTTACATACAAGACGTTTAATGGCTAGCTTGTCCGTTGTCAACGAGGGCGATGGAGACGCCACTGATCCGCCATAACATGACTGAGTTCTGTCTAGAAGAAACGTTTGCGCATCGCGCAGTGGAAGAGGTTTAGTTTTCTCGAAGTATACGGAAATTACCGAGGCCTTGCGAATGATCACTTTTGAAACAACGTCGCTGATTGCACAACTAAATCTGATTACCTCCAATCACGAGTCTTGAACGCTCACACCATGAAAGGGCCGTATTAGAACAGAGGTTACGTAGGAAGATATGATAGGAGTAACCTCTGTGGGAAGAGAATGCTCAACTCCAGGACGTGTCGATAGCTTGGTCAATAAGGCAGCTGGAGTTGCCCCCCTTTAACATGCGTTATATTGACTGTGTCCGTAAAGGATAACATTAGAGAACGGGGCTGTGTTGATGAATAATAAGAGAGTGGGTTTAGTTTGACGCCGGTTTTAGCAATATTCCAGCAATATCACGGCGGGGGACACCAGAAATGGACTTCACACATTGTACCCATGTGGGGAATCGAACCCGGCCTTCAGATCGTCGACCGGATGCTTTAACCACTATGCTACCCGATGCCCCTGGATAAACAATGACCTGTATTTAAGAGGCAATGTTTGAAGAATAAGTGGGCTATTATAAGCACATACAGCAATTTAAGTGTTATCAGAGGCTGATCCGAGAACACTGCAATGTTACCCGTGACGATCCAGGTTAGAATTGATCTCCAGCAACCCATGCTTGTAGTAAGAGGAAACTAACGGGATCGGGTGGTCAGGCTCGCTGACCTGGTTGACACATGTCATCGTATCCCAGTTGCGTAGATTGCTGTTCATGCTGTTGATCACTAGATTGTGTGGTCCAGACCGCCGCCATATTGCTGGAATATGGGTTATATTGGGTCGTTGACACAAATATTTCAGTGGTCAGCATTCCATGAAATTCATTCCGAAAGGTGAAGAAAGGCGATGAAACACACTGCATTAAGAAGCTATCTGAAAAATATCAGCAAGACTTAAAACTCCACTACAGTTTTAATAACTAAAAGAAAATCTATATACGACTTTATTCTTGGGGCGATGAGGTATCACAATATGTGGTTAAAGCGTTAGCTCGCCACGCCTAAGACTCAGGTTCGAGTCCCATCATGAGTACAATGTGTGAAGCCCATTTCTGGTTTCCCCCGCCGTGATTATGTAGTAATGTTGCTGAAAACGTAAAACCAAGCTCATTCACCCGTCATCTCTGTGGATGAAAAAATCTCTATGGAGCCACTGAATATAAGGAAAGGTACTTTTCGGATGATAACTTCTTCATTATATTATGATACGATACTTCAGTACAGGCACTTATTGTCGACAAACATCATCATTTATTTCTCGAAACCACCCACGGTGGTACATGATACATAGTGGCATATATATATATACAGTAAACACCAAGATGACAGAACATACATGAATATAAATTATAAATCATTTGTAATACCTCAGATAGAACATGAATACATCTACATGGATAAGTCAAACATATCAGATATACACACAAATGTCATACGAATAAACCAGGCATGGAAACAAATAACGGATGGAGGTTTTTTATGGAATGTAGGGGGTTTTCTCCTAAGTTTTGATGATATTAATTTAAGGTATCTGGAAAGGTTACGTAGGATGCTTGTCTCTTTTGATTGAAGAAGGATTGCCATTTTAGATAAGTTTGGGAATTGGCAGAATCTTTTGGAAATATATATAGATCTCTCTTGGGTGAAGGTTTCGCACTTGAGAAGGTAATGGAAAGCATCTGCTATAGCAGGTGAGCTACAGAGAGGACAAAGTCTTTCAGCTCTTGGTACTCCATTCCATCGGCCTGTTTCAACAGGAAAGTTATGGCTTGATGTTCGCAATTTCATAAGTTCGGAAGAAGGTATGAATCAAACCCAAAAGACTGTTTGAAATAGCAATAATATAAACCTTTAGGGCTTGCAGAAATATCGCCTTTCCAATTTTGAAAGAACTGTTCTTTTAGAATTCTTTCAGCGTTCGAAACTAACCATGGGGTGGAGTACCTAGATGGATTATTCCAAATATGGTTTAAACTAATGTTATTTAAGATACGCTGTATACAAGTTAGCCATGGGTAGTCATTGTTATTAATTTTAAATCTAACTGAACAAACCGAAGCATTACTTGAGAGAACTTAGTTACACCTATTTGGAAATGTAATTTATACGCTTGTATATCTTGATATATAAAGGTTCTTTTCCTAGTTCCCCATACAGCATAACATTTGGTGTAGAGTTTCGTAGGCCGGCAACGTGCTTATGAAATTTTAGATGAACTTGTTCAATTAAGTGTAGGTTTTCAAACCCCAAAACTTCTGAGCCATATGTTAAAATTGGAACAACCAAAGTGCCAAATGCTGATGATAAACAGTCAAGCGGTAAGTTGATATTTCGAGACTTCCTGAGTAGAACATACATGATTGCTTTTTGTGCATTTTCGCATACAATTTTTATTGCATATATAAATCGTCTATTTCTATGCATGTTAATTCCAATATAAGTATAGGAATCAACTATCTCTAAACAATTTCTACCGTAAGAAAAGGCAAGTTTTGATGATATAGCAGGACCGCCTCCAAATATAACAACTTTAGTTTTCACAATAGTAACGTTTAACTAAATCATAATTAAAAGCATTTATGGACTTTTGCAAGCTGTCTGGTGTAACATCAAAAATAGCAGTGTCATCAGCATAAAATAATACAATGAATTGAATCCACAGAATATCAATGGAATCATCTGGATTCCTAATGTCAACGTTAACACCCTCAAATCCCTTAGAATATAAATAAGATTCCATGTCATTCAGGAATAGGGAGAAAAGTAAAGGAGAGAGGTTCTATCCTTGTCGGACGCCAGTGAGGCTTGGGAAGTTGTATTATTTACTTGTACTAGCGATTTTATATCTTTATACATATTAACTACTAAAGTAAAAAAGAGTAAAGTACTACAGCACAGAACAGACTTATATACATCTAATCGGGATTAACAGAAACAGCATAAGGGTATACATGAAAGGGATTAACAAAACCAACTACGGATAATAACTAAAAGAAAATCTATATACGACACTTTATTCTTGGGGCGATGAGGTATCACAATATCTTGTTAAAGCGTTAGCTCGCCACGCCTAAGACTCAGGTTCGAGTCCCATCATGAGTACAATGTGTGAAGCCCATTTCTGGTTTCCCCCGCCGTGATTATGTAGTAATGTTGCTGAAAACGTAAAACCAAGCTCATTCACCCGTCATCTCTGGGGATGAAAAAATCTCTATGGAGCCACTGAATATAAGGAAAGGTACTTTTCGGATGATAACTTCTTCATTATATTATGATGCGATACTTCAGTACAGGCACTTATTGTCGACAAACATCATCATGTATTTCTCGAAACCACCCACGGTGGTACATGATACATAATGGCATATATATATATATATATATATGTATATATATATATATATATATATATATATATATACAGTAAACATCAAGATGACAGAACATACATGAATATAAATTATAAATCATTTGTAATACCTAAGATAGAACATGAATACATCTACATGGATAAGTCAAACATATCAGATATACACACAAATGTCATACGAATAAACCAGGCATGGAAACAAATAACGGATGGAGGTTTTTTATGGAATGTAGGGTTTTTTCTCCTAAGTTTTGATGATATTAATTTAAGGTATCTGGAAAGGTTACGTAGGATGCTTGTCTCTTTTGATTGAAGAAGGATTGCCATTTTAGATAAGTTTGGGAATTGGCAGAATCTTTTGGAAATATATATAGATCTCTCTTGGGTGAAGGTTTCGCACTTGAGAAGGTAATGGAACTCATCTGCTATAGCAGGTGAGTTACAGAGAGGACAAAGTCTTTCAGCTCTTGGCACCCCATTCCATCGGCCTGTTTCCACAGGGAAGTTATGGCTTGATGTTCGCAATTTCATCAGTTAGGAAGAAGAAGGTATGAATCAAATCCAAAAGACTGTTTGAAATAGCAATAATATAAACCTTTAGGTCTTGCAGAGATATCGCCTTTCCAATTTTGAAAGAACTGTTCTTTTAGAATTCTTTCAGCGTTCGAAACTAACCATGGGGTGGAGTACCCAGATGGATTATTCCAAATATGGTTTAAACCAATGTTATTTAAGATACGCTGTATACAAGTTAGCCATGGGTTGTCATTGTTATTAATTTTAAATCTAACTGAACAAACCGAAACATTACTTGAGAGAACTTAGTTACACCTATTTGGAAATGTAATTCATGCCCAAAGTTTAAAATACGCTTGTATATTTTGATATATAAAGGTTCTCTTCCTAGTTCCCCATATACCATAAAATTTGGTGTAGAGTTTCGTAGGCCGGCAGCGAGCTTAAGAAATTTTAGATGAACTTGTTCAATTAAGTGTAGGTTTTCAAACCCCCAAACTTCTGAGCCATATGTTAAAATTGGAACAACCAAAGTGTCAAATGCTGATGATAAACAGTCTAGCGGTAAGTTGATATTTCGATACTTCCTGAGTAGAACATACATTGCTTTTTGTGCATTTTCGCATAGAGTTTTTATTGCATATATAAATCGTCTATTTCTATGCATGTTAATTCCAAGATAAGTATAGGAATCAACTATATCTAAACAATTTCTACCGTAAAAAAATGATGATATAGCAGGACCGCCTCCAAATATAGCAACTTTAGTTTTCACAATATTAACGGTTAACTTCAACATAATTAAAAGCATTTATGGACTTTTGTAAGCTGTCTGGTGTAACATCAAAAATAGCAGTGTCATCAGCATAAAGTAATACAATGAATTGAATCCACATAATATCAATGGAATCATCTGGATTCCTAATGTCAACGTTAACACCCTTACATCCCTTAGAATATAAATAAGATTCCATGTCATTCAGGAATAGGGAGAAAAGTAAAGGAGAGAGGTTCTATCCTTGTCGGACGCCAGTGAGGCTTGGGAAGTTGTATTATTTACTTGTACTAGCGATTTTATATCTTTATACATATTAACTACTAAAGTAAAAAAGAGTAAAGTACTACAGCACAGAACAGACTTATATACATCTAATCGGGATTAACAGAAACAGCATAAGGGTATACATGAAAGGGATTAACACAACCAACTACGGATATAGCCATGTGATTTAGAAATATATAGATAGATATGAACGAAATATCAATACACAAATCACTGAATCCATTGAAATCAAACCTCAACACAGCTGTTTCAATGGTTAAAACACGAACAAATAATAAAATCACTGTCTGGTCAACATCGATACAACTGGAACAATTCCTCTTATCACAGACACATTCAAAGTGTACTAACTTCTTCTGAGCCATGTTAGTTCATAAAACGAACAGTGATACTGTAGTAAGACAAGGGCGCTATATCTGCCGGCTACTGTTAATCACCTGTGTCGCTAAGTCTTATTTACCAATTTCTAAGGTGCATTGTTTGATTTAAACGATGCTATTTCCCAAAAATAATGGGATTAGTGAACCGACAGAGGTTATTTTAACACCTCTCCCTAGAAATACATATAACAATTGTTAGGTTGGGGGGAAGGGAGGTATGGGATGCATTTTCACAACAATCTAACGTTTTCAAGTTCAAATATACCAATATGTATAATTCCAGAATTTAACAAGTATTTAGAACAACAGTACAAAGCACAACCATTAATTCACATCCTGACTATAGTTTAATCGTTTTAAAGGCGGATAACTCTGTGTCATCCCCATATATCTGTGAGTCTCTCTGCATAATGACTAAAGAATTATTTCCTTAGGCGAGAAACCCTTGGGAGATAACTGGTATCAAACCTACGCATGAGATCGGATACGTCATTAGTTCTCCATGGTGATGACCTAAGGTCAGATTGTGGCGGACTACTTTCCTGATTGTAATTTAGTCTTGCTTCGGTCGTACTCACTTACATCCGAGTCGCAACTTTATGGTTTTAGGGTGTTAAAAAATGTACTTAGAAAGCAATTGGTCAGAAATGACGGTGCTGTGATCCTCGTCGTTTTGAAACGTATCACCCCCTTATGCTTATTCGATACGTTTTGAAACACCACGTGGTAAGTTAAAGGGTATTTAACAGACATAGACACAGACACAGACATTATATCAATCTGACAGACAATGAACATGACACCATTGCCATTTACCTCCTTTATATAGATTAAATTTCTAAATCATTGAGTTTATCTTTTATTGCACCACCTGCCCCGTGGAATGTAATAAATTATTTAACTCTACTGTTGAAGTCACTTGATGCATAAAAAGTGCACTGGTTGTATGTATTTCACTACCCGGAAAGCTATTGTATTGACAAAAGGCTCGTTTTACGACATTCCAACTCTGAATTGTAAACAATTCATTTCTCAGAAGTTGACAACAAAGAGGACTCAGTGTTTGGATAGCAACGTTTTTCATGCGCTATTGTCTCGATGTTTCTGTAAAGATGTTGTTGTCAAGCAAACGGACGAAGTATATTTGTATAGATTTTTACTTTATCCCAGTACAGAGCGGAGATGACTCTGGGTTTAAGATCTGATTATGTATTCAGTAGATGCAGAAAGTCCCTCTTCTTGTCTGATATAATTACCTATGACACCACTTACTGGTAATTCATGAATAATCTACAGGATTTAGTTGATAACGATCATGATTATTATACATATACAATGGGGGACATGTGCGATTAAGAATCACATTTTTGTTGTTTGTCATTCATCATGCTATAAATCATATGTCAGTCACATTCCTAGATGGAATAGCAATCTTTGATGCTTGTTCCTCAGCAAATGAAATGCACTTCTCGGATGATACGAAGGTGCATATGGCAACCAACCAACAAAGCTATAATTTTAGAACATCGAAAAAGATCTTAGTTCGGCCAATTTGTACAAAATATGGATGGCAACATATTCAACCACTGCTACGATTCATATTAACCAAGTGCTACTATTCATAAACCAAGTGCTACTATTCATACATCAAGTGCTACTATTTATTAATCAGTGCTACTATTCATATTCACCATACCAATATCTATCCTAGCAATTAGATTCCCATTTTAAAACATATAGATGAGAAAGCATTTGTCAGGGGATGTATGTACAAAATATTCATTTTTACCCTGTGTTACTATTCATATTTACTGCGTGATACCATTCATATTTATCAACTGCTACTATTCATATTCACCTAGTGCTGCTATTCATATTCACTGTACGTTTATTTATAGTAAAATATTCCCCTTTTAAATATATAAAGATGAAGAACGCAGTTTCTCACGAAGAAACATACTCAACAACTACTAATAATCATATTCTCCAACTACCCTATTCACATTCTTCAACTGCTACTATTCATTTAACAACTGTTGCTATTCATATTCACATACTACCACTGTTCAAATTGAGCAGCCGTTGGTATTCATATATACCATCCACTACTGTCCATTTTCATCAACTACTACCATTCACACTCATCATTTGCTACGACTCATATACCGACGAGTATTCATATTCAACAACAGCTACTTTTTATATTCACCCCACATATATCTATACAAACAGTTAGATTCACATTCAAAAATAAATAAAAATGAAGAAAGCAGCTTGTTCCGGATCACATATGCAAAGCTACTACTATTCATGCACATCGGAACTCTCTCACGCCTTCAAGAAATCCACTACACTGCAGCAAGAATTGTCACCAGGACGTCCAAACGGTCACGCATCACCCCAGTTTTGAAATACCTTCACTGGTTTGCCCGTAGAGGCAAGGATCCACTTCAAAACGTTACGTACAGATGTCAGTTCCAGCATATCTCCAGTGAACTCATCTTAGATCACAAGGCCTCCAGAAACCTCGGTCAGACCACCAACATCACCTGTCTGTTCCAAGGCTAAACTGAAGCTCTTTGGTGAAAAGGCTTTCAGTGCATCAGCCCCCATACTTTGGGACAATCTCCCTCTCGCCATAAAGAGTTCACCAACTATTGTCACTTTCAAGTCTCAGTTAAAAACCCACTTCTTTGCTAAATACTAATCTCAGTGATCTCTTCCAGTTCTATTAAGACTGTTACTGTTTCGTACAGTATATCAGCACAAGAGTGTGGACTATAGCGCTATATAAATATATATAGTGACCTCTTCTACAAAAAATCAATATCATAGGTAAATGCCAGATAATAGCCAGTTTCGATTGTCAACTTCCACTAGCAAAATAGTGATGAAATGAATGTTAAACATTTGTTAAGAAGGCAGCACAACTTGACTTTGTTGGCTAATTTTGTGACAAGGACATGAAACCTTTCTTGGATAACAATTTCGTCACTCTTTTTCGTGATATTTCATGGACACCTTCAGCAGGCCATGTTTTCAACTATACGAACTTTCATGTTTTCAGGTTGTCATGAGTAATCTTTTAAATGGCAATCGAAGTATTGCTTCATCTTATCTTTAGCCTGAGGTAATACATAAATTCCTATAAGAATTAAGCAATGGTAGGACATCCTGTTTCGTTAATACTATTTAAAGGCATATACATAATGACATTCTGCTTTCATTATTGGCAACTTTTAGTTTTTGTGTCTCGTTATCATATCATAATAGTGATTGTCGGGTTTTGTTTGGTGTTTGCCGACGCAGTATTAGAGCGGAGATCTGCAAATAATCCTTTCCGGACCAGACAATCCACTGATCGACAGGATCATCATCTATCTACGTAATTCACACACGATGACATTCATGGACCATGTCATCAAGACGATAAGACCAATCCTAGCCCAGATCGTGACTGGTCGATTGTCTGGTTGGGTCTCATGTTATCATGCTGAGCTAGCCATTTCAATTAGCGTCGTGTTATCTCCTTTTAAGGTCGATTCATGTTTTTTTAAGTGTCTTTTTTCTTGTAACAGCACACGTAACATACCAGAAAAAATTGCATTAGCTAGAGTTTTCAAATTACTTGTATCCACAATCCAGTTATTGCTCACATTTTTGACGACATTTCTGAACATGGCCAAAAATATTGCAATGGTTACAGGTATTCATACATTTGTGTCCACAAGCGAGTTGCTGCTCACATTTGCGAGAGCATGAGTAGCTTTTCTTCGAGACTTGACAATGCATCTGATAAATGTGTCCACATTTTAGTGTTACATTGACTATCACTTCACACTTTTCCATGCAGCCATTTCGTGCACAGTCTCCACAAATCCCTTTGCATGGATGGTCACAGGGACGTAGCTTTGTACAAGACTGTAGGCATCTCTTCTGTAAAGCTGAACTGTGACATTCAGTCTCAATAGCATGTCCACATGGAAGTGTATGTTTCGTTGCGACAACACTGCTGAACATGACCAAACATTCTGCACTGGCTGCAGGTCTGCATGCATTTGTGTCCACAAGCGAGCTGCTGCTCACATTTGCGAGAGCATGAGTACCTTTTCTTTGAGACTTGACAATGCATCTGATAAATGTGTCCACATTTTAGTGTTACATTGACTATCTCTTTACACTTTTCCATGCAGCCATATCGTGCACAGTCTCCACAAATACCAGCGCATCTGTGCCCGCAGGACAGACGCATCATGCATAATTTGGTACATGGATGCTCTGTATGTTCTATGTCATTTACATGACAAATTTTGTCACACGTGTGACCACACTTTAGTCTGACACCGCAGCTCTTTGTACATCCACCATTGGGAGCCTTGTCAAAGTCCCTTGCACTTGAGACTGAAATTGTCATTTCTGGATGGTTCGTACACCTTAATAGCATGTGTGGACCAATAGAGTTTGTTGATTGTAGAGTCCCTACAATACTAGCCCACAATGGGCTTTTCTCTGCAAATAGATGGAAATTCCCAACAGCAAACATCCTTCCCTTGCTCGTGAGAGCGCAACACAAATCCTATTGTCAATGCTCAAAAGCCAACAGATCCTTCCTCATTGCTGCGGACCAAATGACAAAGGACAATCTTGCATTCTTCTCCTTGAAAATTGTCAACCAGAAGTCAAACGGACATCTTGGAACAGAGACAATCTCACTTTCCCATGTGTCTTTGATTAGTGAGATCTGTCAGTATAAGCAGCAAGTATTGTGATGTCTGATGCTTCGTAGCCCTGGAGCAGAAAGTACCGACACAAGGCTACGATGAATGATGCTTCATGCTCATTTGACTTGCTCATAGTTTCATTTAGATGGTGTTCCCTATGTTGGTGGGATAGGAAGAACACGTTCTTGTCAACACCACGGATAGAGTTACATTTGTAACTGAGATGTGATCTTTTAATTTCGGGTAAATAATGTTTCATAAGAACAGATGGTCTCTGGTCTCATCCTATGTTTGCAATTCTAAAGTCACATGATGTAGCCCATTCTTTACCAGTCGTTCAAACAGCGATATGTCAAGATTGTATTTCCTGGCCAGTTAAGTAGACTGTGGGTTTGGTCTCAGCTGTTGGTGGTCTCCTATTAGAATGAGTTGTTGGCACTCAGGGTTGAGGGATGTTATTATGTGGGACTCCAAAACTTCAGCCGCCTCCTCTACTATGATAATACTAGGTGCTACAGCTTCAAGAAGACTTGCATGTTTTGCAGCTCCTGTAGTTGTCATTCCAATGATGTCTGCTTGAGAGAGAATGTCTTTATCCTCTTCCCTTAATACTTCCTTCCGTCTCTGGGATAACTGCCTGTATTCCTGTTCTTTATCTTTAATAGATACTTTGCAGTCGTGCTGATACGCTGTTACCCAAGTCTTGTACAAAGATTCCCGATCATTCATATCCAAATACCACACGTCTCTGCAATGCAGTATTTGTGTATTGATGGGTCGTGCTTCCATTAAAATCCTCTCCAGTCGTTTCTTCTGATTTCGTTTGTGTGCAGCTTGAACCTGTTCATTAGCGCTCTGATTTCCTTCATGTACTGTAGTGGATAGAAGCGACTGAAAACTAAGAGCCAGAGTGTTTATGGCTTTTGACATCTGAGCTGACAGTCTACTTGATTGGTTTGTGAAAAGATCTACCTCATCATCAATAAATCTCTGTCCGGTAATGATAGCTGCTGCTTCATCTGCATTTGAGAGCCCTGAATTGATTTCATCCAGTTCTTGAATGGCATCATATAGGTCAACTTCAGCTACAGCTACATGTGGTGTAGCTCCAAGCCAAACTTTTATTGAGTACTCATCATGATACTCCGAGTATGTGTCCTTGATAAGACTGTACGCCCATCTTGGAACAAACTGTTGTAAATAGGCATCTGGTAGTATAGCCATAGCTGCTTCTCTGAGCTGAGCAGTCAACATTCGAAGTATGAAGTCTTTACCTCTATTGATGGTAGCTTCAGCTTGATACTCTTTCTCAATTTTTCCCTTTTCCCGAGTGACATTTAGTCTGAATCGTTCGAGCCATATTTTGTACACATGAGCTCTGTCAACAAATGACATCGACAATATATCACCAGCATAAGACGGATCCTCCATGGCGGATTCTTTACGTCTGACAAAATCAAGAATTGCTCTTGTCCACTCATTTATGAGTCGCTGGAATGTTGGCAGGTGTTTAAACTCAAGCCATGATAAAATTGCCGATTGTTTGCCCACTCTGAACCTGTTTAACAGGCTCCTCAAGTGATGACGTTCCATGTATGGCATCAATGTATTCTCATGAAGAACACCGAGCATGCTTGCCTCGATTCTACAACCAACCTCTTCAATTGTGTTTTTGATAGCTGCCATTTTGTCTTTACATTCCAAAAGATTATCGTGAACAATTTGCCTCACTCTTTTCTTTCTCCTTCTGTCCATGCGAAGCTCTTTCAGGTTGTAAGGTTCAAGAGTCTTGCTACTGCTTCGCCCTCCAACTCGAATGATACCATGTGGATGGAACTTGTGTATTCCTTCAAGGAACTGGTCCAGGGCATGATTGGTATAACACACAACAAGGATCCCACTGCTGGACCCTAAATTGTCCTTGTTTTCCAAGAGAACTTGCATGATCTTCAACCCTACATATGTCTTGCCTGTGCCTGGTGGTCCCTGAATAATGGCTAGTTCTTTAGTGAGAGCTGTCTTCACTGCTTGTAGCTGAACCTCATTCAGATCATAAAACCTTTGTGGTGGCCATTTGCTTGTATTTAGTACTGGTACTGATGTAAGATTGTAAGTGTATTCTCCGAGAGCAGTCATATCGTATCGCACACCATGATCTAAATATCCTGGCTGCTGAAGGTTTGTTTCACAATGAACAAGATAGCGTTGGAATGGAAGTAAATCTTCAATTTGCTGGAGCCTTGAAAGGACGTGCCTATAAGCTTCAAAATAAGCTGGAGTTTCAGCCATAACAAATGTGTCAGTTGGCGATATGTTGAGAACAATATCAAAATCTTTCTCAAACCTTACCTGTATGTTCCCCTTTAATAAATCGTGGACAGTTCTATTTGTAACAGTTGCAAAGAGCATGGTCTCAAAGTTGTCCCTTGAGAGACACACTAATGAACCATAGATCAACCGTTTACTTGACTGCCATCGAATTCTTCCAACACGAGTAACATCAAAAGTCAACCTAGTGTCAATGTCATCAGTACAAACTGAGCGCATTATGTGAACATCATGATACAACCATGTATCTGCAACTTTGTTCGGAGCTTTGTCAAATCTGCTTTGTTTGTACTCCAGTATGCCTCTCCTCAATGGCTGGATGTAATCTTCCCTTAATAACCGGAACTGAACATCAAGGTAGGTGTCTAAGCTAGAGTAGGCTCCCTTGTCTTTGTTCTGTCTCAGGAATGGCTGCTCATCTGACAACAGGTCCTGCAAACTGGGAAACATCTCAAGGTCCCTGTAATTGTCTGGTGGTTCCTCTTCGTAGCTTCTGCATTGACCAAATACTACGTGCCGAATGCATGTCCTCCCCAGCTCCGCTCTATGTGCTTCGAGTTCTGGATTATCATAGATAATATCGCAATCACTGAAAGCATATCCAATACATTGCAAAGCATCAACGCATTTCCCTGCATTCCTTGGACTTTTCTTCAGTATTTCCTCACATATAACAAACACATGATTACTGTAGTCTTCAATCTCGTCATAGTGGTTAAGCTGGTCAAAAAAGTTCACAAGATGTGTATCCAGAAAACACGATGTGCATAGTGTCTTCAGGACCTTTTTTAGTCCTTCCTTGTGATCTGTACTGCATGCTTTGTCAACCACAGCAAGTACAAGCCTGATTTCATCAAATGTCATAGAATGACTATGTAACATTGATTCAAAGCCACTCTTATCACTTGCCAGTTCCAGGGTTATATTTTCCAAATTGTCTTCATCTATGAGATCTCTTAATCGTTCAAATCCCATCTGTCTTCTTTGTCCTCCTCTTCTTCTTCTTCGATGCCTATGATATTCGTCCCTGCGAGTGTGGTGTCTTCCTTGGGATCTGTAAATAGTAAAAACAAAAACATTTGTTAGAGTTCATAGTTATTTTGTGTATGGAGAGCACAACCCTGTGATGAAATTGGGGTCTACCTTTGATGGTGGCGATATTTTATTTGGACATTAACAATATTTTTCGAACCGAAGCGAGGTTTCCAACCTTTGCTCGCTTCACTCGCTTATAGGAAGACTGGTCATTTTCCTCTCTGCTGCGCAACCTTATTCGCGCTACAGTTTTTCTGTGTTTCAACAAGGCGAAATGACCAACATGCAATAGTAAGTGTTTCCTGGTCAGTTTAAATACTGTGGTCGCTGAATGGGATAACACTGCACGAATAGTATTTGTATTTATTGATTTGCACTAATTTCCATGCATTCCAAAACATTGTGTTACACTTATGTTTATGCCAAGTTTTGGTATGTTGGTAATATTTTATTGAAATACATTTATTTACATCATTGTCCATACACGTCCATTACCCTGGCAAGTGTTTTATGTCATATATGCCAAGGGTCAGTGACACGAAACCAAACTAAGCACATCCCCATGTGTGCACATATCATTTGGAATATCTGGACAGTTTATTACTTCAAACTTTAGAAATAAAACGTTTCACCTGCTTCAACAGACCAAGCCATTCCGAGTTTGTTTTTGATTTTTAATTTCGTCATTGACGCCTGTTTCAACAGACCAAGCCATTTAGTTGGGGTTTTTTAATTTCGCCACTGACACCTAGTCCTAACAGACCAGTCCATTCATGTTGTTTTTTCAATTTCGTCATTGACGCCTGTTTCAACAGACCAAGCCATTCAGTTGTTTTTTATTAATATCGTCACTGACACCTAGTCCTAACAGACCAGTCCATTCATGTTGTTTTTTTTAATTTCTTCATTGACGCCTGTTTCAGCAGACCAAGCCATTTAGTTGGGTTTTTTTAATTTCGTCAATGACACCTAGTCCTAACAGACCAGTCCATTCATGTTTTTGTTTTGATTTCGTCATTGACGCCTGTTTCAACAGACCAAGCCATTTAGTTGGGGTTTTTTTAATTTCGTCACTGACACCTAGTCCTAACAGACCAGTCCATTCATCTTGTTTTTTCAATTTCGTCATTGACGCCTGTTTCAACAGACCAAGCCATTCAGTTGTTTTTTATTAATATCGTCACTGACACCTAGTCTTAACAGACCAGTCCATTCACGTGGGTTTTTTTCAATTTCGTAATGAATGTCAGTCTCGATGTATTGGAGGGATTGGGTGGCTGCCAACATCGCATGTATTTTTAGGCTGTGTGACAGACGCTTTTGTACATGCTTTGTTAACGCTTTCTTTAAGACCCGCATACATACAGACCGACGTCACACAGCTAACATATTGTTGAATGCAGCGTTAGGCGCAAAATGTAATCAAATGATATGGTTGATGTGACGTCAATAACATTTCTGTTTTAGCTGTGTTTGACAACAGAGAAGGCGTTTTCATGGTCTTTTCATTCAAGCCTGGCTTCTTGTGTTTTACGAACAATAACCGTTTTACAGAGCTCACAAAACATATAATTGTAGTTCCACATAAAACACATGAAGCAGATTTGACCTGACCGTTCAAGCAGATAGACGGACAGCGTCAAATCTGATCATAATGCATATCATGTTATTAGCCATTAACGTGTCTATGGAAAATGTAAGCTTCCATCGTCCCCTGTTCAGGGAAAAGCTGCCCCACGGGCTGTAAATAATGTATCGACGGTTGAATTTCTCGAGGAGACCTCTGGGCCTGTTTATGTGCATGTACCCTGTGTAATATTCGGTAATGAGCGGATTTCTTTTGACATTTAACCTTCATATGTCCTTACTGGGGTATTATCAGAACATGAAAAAAATAACTCTTCATTTAGAAATTTGATCAATTAGGTTTACTGGAGGTCTGTATTCACCTATATTTTGGTACCAAAGAGGAGATATACTCGATAGACTCACTCCACTGATCACCCAGAATTTCATACCAAAGAGGAGATATACTCTAAGGACTCACTCCACTGATCACCCAGAATTTGGTACCAAAGAGGAGATATACTCTATGGACTCACTCTACTGATTGCACAGAATTTGGTATCAAAGAGGAGATATATTCTATGGACTCACTCCACTGATCACCCAGAATTTGTTACCAAAAAGTACATATACTCTATGGACCCACTCCACTGATCACCCAGAATTTGGTACCAAGGAGGAGATATACTCTATGGACTCACTCCACTGATCACCCAAAATTTGGTACCAAAGAGGAGATATACTCTATGGACTCACTCCACTGATCACCCAGAATTTGGTACCAAAGAGGAGACATACTCTATGGACTCACTCCACTGATCACCCAGAATTTCGTACCAAAGAGGAGATATACTCTATGGACTCACTCCACTGATCATCCAGAATTTGGTACCAAAGAGGGGATATACTCTATGGACTCACTCCACTGATCACCCAGAATTTGGTACCAAAGAGGAGATATACTATAAGGACTCAATTCATTGATCGCCAAGAATTTGGTACCAAAGAGGAGATATACTCTATGGAGTCACTCCACTCATCGCACAGAATTTGGTACCAAAGAGGAGATATACTCTAAGGACTCACTCCACTCATCGCCCAGAATTTGGTACCAAAGAGGAGATATACTCTATGGACTCACTCCACAGATCACCTAGAATTTGGTACCAAAGAGGAGATATTCTCTATGGACTCACTCCACTGATCGCACAGAATTTGGTACCAAAGAGGAGATATATTCTATGGACTCACTCTACTGATTGCACAGAATTTGGTATCAAAGAGGAGATATACTCTATGGACTCACTCCACTGATCACCCAGAATTTGTTACCAAAGAGTACATATACTCTATGGACCCACTCCACTGATCACCCAGAATTTCGTACCAAAGAGGAGATATACTATAAGGACTCAATCCATTTATCGCCAAGAATTTGGTACCAAAGAGGAGATATACTCTATGGACTCACTTCACTCATCGCACAGAATTTGGTATCAAAGAGGAGATATACTCTATGGACTCACTCCACTCATCGCAAAGAATTTGGTACCAAAGAGGAGATATTCTCTATGGACTCACTCCACTGATCACCCAGAAATTGGTACCAAAGAGGAGATATACTCTATGGACTCAATCCACTGATCACACAGAAATTGGTACCAAAGAGGAGATATACTCTTTGGACTCACTCCACTGATCACCCAGAAATTGGTACCAAAGAGGAGATATACTCTAAGGACTCACTCCACTGATTACCCAGAATTTTGGTACCAAAGAGGAGATATACTCTATGGACTCACTCCACTGATCACCCAGAATTTGGTACCAAAGAGGAGATATACTCTATGGACTCACTCCACTGATCACCCAGAATTTGGTACCAAAGAGGAGATATACTCTATGGACTCACTCCACTGATCACCCAGAATTTGGTACCAAAGAGGAGATATACTCTATGGACTCACTGCATTGATCACCCAAAATTTGGTACCAAAGAGGAGATCTACTCTATGGACTCACTCCACCGATCGCCCAGAATTTGGTACCAAAGAGGAGATATACTCTATGGACTCACTCCACTGATCACCAAGAAATTGGTACCAAAGAGTACATATACTCTATGGACTCACTCCACTGATCACACAGAATTTGGTACCAAAGAGGAGATAACTCTGACTGACATATATAAATATCCAACAAGGGTTGCAGCACAAGACCAGAGTAACAGTCCACACTGTATGATATTTATATGGAGTTACAAGTATCATCAGATGAAACCTTCAGCTTCGCAGATGAAAGTATCAACTTCGTAGAAGTACAGCATAATCTACGTAGATTTAAGTATGAATTTATTTTAGACTGTGGCACTAATACGCTTCCATACAGAACTGCCGATCATACACTTCATTATTGACAGATAATGCTATACCCGACGTCCAAAGTCTTGTTCTTCTTTTTCCGTGTGAGGAACGAAGCCAGCTTTCTTCTGGAACTGCTAAATACCATCCGCGTATAATGGCATTGTTAACAGAAATGTATTGATCACGTATGGGGATAATCTTAGCGTTACATAGCAACCTTCATGATATGTTTGTAAATGAATATATTTTACTGCATGAAAGTTCAACGTCATACTTACAACATCGGGAAATTCTGGGTGATCAATGGGTTGAGTACATCGAGTATATCCCCTCTTTGGTACCAAATTCTGGGTGATCAGTGGGCTGAGTCCATCGAATATATCATCTCGTTCATATGCGGCACTTGCTCCACAGACACCACTGAATGAGATTCTTCTGTGAAGCAAGGCACATTTATACTACCACAGGTATGATACGTCATTTCTCAAATTAGCTTTTCTAGGAAATTACGTGTCTGGAAAAACCTTGCGTAATGTTAACTTGTCTTGGTTGTGACATGTCCTGGGATGTGTTTGAAAAATGTATGAGAATGCTGAAAAATGCCCTTAAAAGATATATCTGACCCTGTTATCTTCATCAAAGGGGCGGCGGGGATGCCTAGTTAAGTGTTTAAATGTTCACTCGCCAAGCCGAAGACCCGGGTTAGATTCGATACAATTAATGCGTGAAGGGCCTTTCCGGAGTCCCGAATCATGATATTGCTGGAATATTGCTAAAAGCGACGTAAAACCATTCTCACTTATCAAAGTAGACAATGTGGACAGCCCAGACATCCAAAAGTCAGCCCGGACATCCAAGAGTCTTTGACTGAGTCTCTCTCTCTCTCTCTCTCTCTCTCTCTCTCTCTCTCTCTCTCTCTCTCTCTCTCTCTCTCTCTCTCTCTCTCTCTCTCTCTCTCTCTCTCTCTCTCTCTCTCTCTCTCTCTCTCCTCTCTCTCTCTCTCTCTCTCTCTCTCTCTCTCTCTCTCTGTCTCTCTCTCTCTCTCTCTCTCTCTCTCTCTCTCTCTCTCTCTCTCTCTCTCTCTCTCTCTCTCTCTCTCTCTCTCTCTCTCTCTCTCTCTCTCTCTCTCTCTCTCTCTCTCTCTCATACATGAACTCGTGGTTATTCCAAACATATTTTAAAATATATCCCTTTATCCTTGTTGTTAACTAAACTAACTGGTTGTTAAATCAGACAATAATCCATACATAGAAACACAATCCATACATAAAGTTCCACTATCATGCCTGGTGGGTGTTTTTCAATCTTTCTGATTGTCCCGTACACAGATACATTTATCAATAACTATTCAGTATGACAGGTGCACGATCTGAGGTAACTACGTAAATCACCTCGCCCTTTCCACATCATCATGTACTCCATGGTTGCATCCCTACACATAACACCGAGTCCCGTATTGATCAGTCCCTGTGAGGAGTTTCAAACCGAAAGTAACACTGACAATATGTGACGTAATCCCGTATTGACGAGGACTGGGACTGCCTAAAAGTCGGCCAGCGAGTAATTGAAAAACGGATTGCAGCATATTAAAACGAAACGTGCGCAATTGGGCATCCAGCGTTCACAAACGCTTAGTTTTGCCGAAGTGTGAATGAAAATGTATAAAACGTTTACTAAGCTATGCCTCTAGATCTGTACCGCACAAGAGTCAGTGCTTTGCTGCTTGATACTTTCTTTGTTATATCTATGTGAGAACAGTGCGTGGGCAAACCAACAAGCCAACTAACCTGTATTAAAACAGGACATGTAAATTCCAATGCCATTCGTTAATATTCTCTTCCAAATAAAATAGACATTCTCTGCTGTTTCAGCAAAATCAGGTTCAGCAGGGAGTCCAAATTGGTTAATTATGGAAAAAAAAGGTTAGTGAGTGACTTTAGCTTTACGCCGCACTCAGCAATATTCCAGCAAAATGGCGGCGGTCGGTAAATAATCGAGACTGAACCAGACAATCCAGTAATCAACGGCATGAGCATCGATCTGCGCAATTGGGATACGATGACACGTGTCAACCAAGTCAGCGAGTCTGACCGCCCAATCCCGTTAGTCGCCTCTTACGACAAGCATGGGTTGCAGAAGATCAATTCTAGACCGGAAGTTCACGGGTCGCTTCCGACTTATCCCGGGCTGTATAAAACATCCCAACCCGTCCTGATGTTACATCTTATGCGTTAACATCGATAGACCAGTATTATATTTAGACGAACACCACAATTAAATGGGAATGGTATTTTAAACGAACCACTCTGCTAAACCGAAGTCCCTTTACTGCATACAATTTCAGCCACAAATGTTTCTGATGTCTTGGTCCAGGTTTTGAAAATCATCATAAATCTTGAAGATCTATCTTCAAATGTGTTTACATACAACATCATTATATCTCCCTCAAAACAAATGTGTCACAGATGAAAGTGATCAAAACAAACGCGTTGCACTTTTGATTTGCGCTTGTACGCTTATAATTTTGTTTATATGTTTTTTCATAACCAGCAATGTATATTATATGTCATGAATAAGTGATAACTGTGTTTTAATTATGTTTGATTTTTTGGGTTGCATGTGACCTTTAAGTTGCATTTGACAGGCCGAGCCAAGTCTGGCCGAACACTGACCAAAAGAGTATGTGATAAAAGGGCTTCATTCGATCAACTTGTTCGCTTTAGACACTTCAGATTTAGACACTATAAATTAATGTGTATGTAGATATAATACCATTCTACATCTGTAAACAAGTAGGATAAAGTATCTTTTACGTAGGAGATGCTTTAAACCGCTCGTTGTCGTTCCGAACAATTTGGACGGAGCTAACGTTGAAACTGTAGGACTTAATACGATGAACAGTGACCTTCTAAAATGGTATGTGCTTGGATATAGATGTAAAACCTTTCCAGGCAAACGGAAAGGTGAATGAAGATGGACTGAAGTATTCATGAGTTTCAAATTCTGTTTTGTTTAACGATTCCTCCTTTACACATAACCCTGCTCATAGATACGCGTGAATACATTGCCTACGTTGTAGCTTTTAAATATTCATGAAATGTCAATATCCACATTGACCAAGAACTTGTCAATGGTTTGTTATTTCATCCAGCGCAGTACAGTAGGGTAACAGTCTCGATATTACGCAAGCTTCGTCAGGTATTTATTATCACCATATCTTTTGTGTCGCCTGATGGTACAACCTTGCTAGATTGCTAAACGTACTGCGAGTGTAAGTTATTCGGCGCAGTGTAGTCAGCCCTAGTGAACAACCCCCCAGTATTGGTTTCAGGTAGGATTGTTTCTCTGGTCAGTTGCCGTTATCGTCTGGCATTTGAATTATGTATGGAATGCATGGAATGCTCGGCTTTCTAAATGTATAAATTTTATATGTTTTTTGTACCTTATATATAAACGAAAAGCCCGTGAATTTAAATTAGCCACTTTCGATTACGTTATTCTTAAACAAGCACAATCTCATTGTTACATCACCGATTGGATGAATAGGAACGATAATGAAACCGATAATATCAAACATCCACAGCCCATTGATAAAAGTGTGCTCAAAGGTTGGGGTTCTTTTAAGTCATAGAAGACTGTTTTTTGACATTTCATGTTTTATGATGGCAGAGTGAGTGAGTTTAATTTTTCGCCGCACTCAGCAATATTTCAGCTATATAGCGACGGTCTGTAAATAATGGAGTCTGGACCAGACAATCCAGTGATCAACAGCATGAGCATCGATCTGCGTAATTGGGAATCGATGACATGTGTCAACCAAGTCGACGAGCCTGACCACCCGATCCCGTTTAGTCTCCTCTTGCGACAAGCATGGATTACGGAAGGTTCATTCTAACCCGGACCTTCAGGGGTCTTATGATGGCAGAGGCAATTTTACATACTATAGGTATTAGGAGCATACCACTGTCAGACACTACGGCAAACAGCAACAATCTTGGACAATTCTGTAGACTAATAACACATAATGCCATTGCTTTGAAACCCAGGGACAGATACACAGGTAGATAATTTCTAATTACTTAACAGAAAAATAGACATGTGCCCTGTTGGCTTTTATCAAATGATAACATTTCCTAAAATGTAATTAATATATGTGCGTGCGTGCGTGCGTGCGTGCGTGCGTGCGTGCGTGCGTGTGTGTATTGTTATCTCAACAGCACAACAAAATCTCAGGTATTTGTGACTGAAAATAATTCAAGACAAAGACCCACTGTTGAGAGAAATATAGCTTATCATATCTGTATTTTATATATATTGTGACAAGTTATTGTATGGGAAGAAAATATACAAAGATGATATGAAACATCTATCCGAGTCGCAACTTTATGGTTTTAGGGTGTTAAAAAATGTACTTAGAAAGCAATTGGTCAGAAATGACGGTGCTGTGATCCTCGTCCTTTTGAAACGTATCACCCCCTTATGCTTATTCGATACGTTTTGAAACACCATGTGGTAAGTTAAAGGGTATTTAACAGACATAGTCACAGACACAGACATTATATCAATCTGACAGACAATGAAAATGACACAATTGCCATTTACCTCCTTCATATTAATTACATTTCTAAATCATTGAGTTTATCTTTTATTGCACCACCTGCCCCGTGGAATGTAATTAATTATTTAACTCTACTGTTGAAGTCACTTGATGCACAAAAAGTGCACTGGTTGTATGTATTTCACTACCCGGAAAGCTATTGTATTGACAAAAAGCTCGTTTTTACGACATTCCAAGACTGAATTGTAAACAATTCAATTCTTAGAAGTTGACAACAAAGAGGACACAATGTTTGGATAGCAACGTTTTTCATGCGCTATTGTCTCGATGTTTCTGTAAAGATGACTCTGGGTTTAAGATCTGATTATATATTCAGTAGATGCAGAAAGTCCCTCTTCTTGTCTGATATAATTACATATGACACCACTTACTGGTAATTCATGAATAATCTACAGGATTTAGTTGATAACGATCATGATTATTATACATATACAATGGGGGACATGTGCGATTAAGAATCAAATTTTCGTTGTTTAGTGTGTTCTTGTCATTCATCATGCTATAAATCATATGTCAGTCACATTCCTAGATGGAATAGCAATCTTTGATGCTTGTTCCTCAGCAAATGAAATGCACTTCTTGGATGATACGAAGGTGCATATGGCAACCAACCAACAAAGCTATCATTTTAGAACATCTAAAGATCTTAGTTCGGCCTATTTGTACAAAATATGGATGGCAACATATTCAACCACTGCTACGATTCATATTAACCAAGTACTACTATTCATAAACCAAGTGCTACTATTCATACATCAAGTGCTACTATTTATTAATCAGTGCTACTATTCATATTCACCATACCAATATCTATCCTAGCAATTAGATTCCCATATTAAAACATATAGATGAG